TGATTAGTTGCCCCCAAGACCTTACCAACCTTTGCCTGCTTGGGAATTAAATTACATACATTGGCTATTTTCTTGTACATCTAAATTAAGACTAGATCTGTCTGACTTTGTGAAATCTAGTAATTCCTCTTCAGCTTGTTTATACTTAAGCATGATACTTAACATTTATACTGGCTTGCTTTCGCTCCAATAGAAACAATTGTAAAGGGCAAAGTTCACTCTATTTCTATTCACTGGATGTATGGTTTAAATCAAATTTATGAGAGAATTAAATATTGATAATCTTTTATCTTGAATACAGTTCTTGAAGGAAAGAAATGTGCCATATATACTCATATATACACCCACTTCATGTATAGTGTGACCCCTGATCTTTTTTTTTTTTTTCTTTTATCTTTTTGGGAAAAACCTGACTTTTCATATAGTTCAAGTATAAGGTGACCCCAGCTTCTGAGCAATAATATTAGGTCTATCATAGTCAAATATTATATTACTGGACATCATCCTGGATGTACAAACTTTCCTCTATGGTACCTCGACTTTAGCATTTTAACCACTGTACTAGATTGAGGGAAATGTCTCTTCATTTTACAGTTGAAATGGTTAGATCTAAGTTCAATGCTAGCTGTTTCTAGTTATGCAATTCTTGCTTCTGGAACTTTCTTCTGGCCTCTTGCTTCCCAGTTAACTTTGATCTTCAAAAATTTCAATGCAATGTCAGTCATTATCTTTCATCTTAATTCTTGCTTTTTAATTGTCCTCTCACCATAAGTGTTTTTATTTTTTCTAATTCTGTAACACTCAGTAAGCTCTCGCCTGTTAATGGCTTTATTGCCTTGCTTTGGGTGAGATGCTAAAAGAATATAAATGGTATTCATTCTTTTGCACAAAGCTACCCCAAAAGTTTGAAAAAAAAAAAACACTTACCATAAAATATCTGATATGAAGGTTTAGATACCATACTTTTGTTTCCGTTCATACCTAGGCTACAGGAGGCAGGCTAAGGGTGCTTACTTGTACTGTTAAGTTTAGACAAAGGTACCATAACAATGTAGATCAGATAGGTTACAGGCATGTTTTTAACCTCTTCAAAAAATTAACCTCATCTTTGTTGCCGTATTCACAAAGTTTTGGCTATTGTATTCTCCGGCCTTCGTCAGGTGATTGGAATTTTGAACTGAACCCTTTATTTCATCCACTGGGGTAGATTGTTCTAGTTCCACATGCCATGCCTCTTCCAGATATCTCAGTTTCAGTTATGTCCCTTTAATTCAACTCTCCAAGTTTTTCTTCACCACTGCTGTGGCCAGGTATTGATAAAGACCCACCCCTATAAAAGTCTGAATCTTAAAATTCGTATTATTCTTGAGTATAGAAAATAATATATCAATAGTCATATTTTTGTAGTGAATGCATTGTCAACAAAATTCTCTCATTTATAAAATATATTTCTGTAAATTTCTTTTTGCTTTTTTTCTAAGAATATATGGCTGGAGCAAGCGAAATATACCCAGAAAATGCATTTTAAAAAAAAAAAGTTAATTGTCATTGTGTTTATTTAAATTTTCTTGTTCAAACACTTTTTCAAGAGTCAAAAAAAAAAATTCTTTTCATATTTATTTCTTTATAAAATGGCAAATAATAAATAATTCATTATAATTAGTTCATATATTTTATACTAAATAAGTTTACTTGTTTCTGGTTCACGTTTCATATCTTTTTTTTTTTTTTTTTTTTTTTTTTTTAAGCATTTCACCCCAAGCAAGGCGGGAAGCCACTAGCACACAAGGGGTTACAGAGAGTTGGAGTGATAGAGGAAAGAATGAAGAGAAGGATGGGGAATTAGATGAAGGCATCTGGAGATGTCGATTGACATTACATTTGAATAGTTGGAGATTATAGTTATCAGGGAACAGACAGCTACATTTAACAGTTTTGACAATGAAAGGGTGAGAGAGAGATGCCAGCCTAGTAGAATGCTTAAATTCATGAAGATTAGGAACCAGCAAAAGCAGCTCCTCGGAGCAGTTACCATGAAAGTATTTGTAAAAAGGACAGAGGGAGGCAATGGCACGTCTGTGAGAGAGTGACTGCAGATGTGCCATCGCCTCCCTCTGTCTTTTGTAGCAGAATAGAGGTTTATCCCTTATTTCCAGTTTAGGATTGGGTTTCCGGTTCCTTCTCCTAAATTCTTCTCATTCTCTTTGACTCCCAATAACCTCTTGCATCTTAGTGGCATTATCACCTTGCTTAGGGTAAAATGATACATATGAAAATCATTTCACTCCAAACAATGCAAAACATCACTAAGGTGTAAGAGGTTACTGAGTGTTAAAGAATATAAGAACAAAACCACTATTAAAGAGAGAGAATAATAAAATGATAAGAATTAAGAAGACAGCCAATAACGATTGATCGAAGTTGTCTGTGAAGCTAGAAGAGTGATAAAAGAAACTGTTAAAACTTCAGGGGATGAATTTTTTTTCCATCCTAAGCAAGGCAATAAAGCCACTAAGATCACACTGTGCTATTGGGTGTTACATAAATTATATATATTAGAAATAACGTATAAACAGAAAATATATTAAACAATTGCCGGACAAAATCCATTTCATAATATATAAAATTATTCTTGTAAATAAACAATCTAATGAATAGTGTTTATTATCTTTTTTCAATTTATTGCTGAAAACTTATTCCCATAGTATGGAATCAATCTAGCAATTGATTCAATATAATATTATACATAATATAAAATAACATGTGATATTTAATATATTTTCAGTTTACACGTTATTTTTATAGATATATAAACAGAAAAATATATTAAATAATTGTTGAACTGTCATATATGAGGTAAATGAATGGAATCATCTGTTTATGTAAATAAGCAGAGTTAAGCATTGGGTCCATTGTTAAGTGTACCTTCATGTAGTAAACTTTCTATTTCATTATTTACTTATGAATTTGACATCCATTTCTATTTCTCTCTGTTATCTTGAAAATATGGACTTAATCCATTTCATAATATATTGTCAATGTTTACGTTAAGATATGATTGATTAAGAAAAATTGTTGAAGATGTGTGTTTATAAACAGTAATTTGGACTTTGCTAACCAGACACTTTTTTATGGCTGAATGATTAACAGTACATAGGATCAAATGATGGTTCTCATTAAGGTTTACACGTTCAATTCCTATCGAAGAGCACATATTTTCTAAGAAATTTCTCAAACATTCAGGCCAGTAAATGTAATTAATACTGTTTAATTAAAAGATAGAGCATTTACTTAAATAAATTTTATCTATTAAAAATAATATATAAACAGAATATATATTAAATAATTGTCAGACTTAATCCATTTCATAATATCTTGTCATTGTTTACGATATGTTTCGCGAGCAGATATGATCGATCAAGGAAAATCTTCAAAGGTGTATGTTTATAAACAGTAATTCGGATTTTGCTAACCAGATGTTTCTTTGTGGCTGAATAGTTAGCAGCACATAGGATCAAACGATGGTTCCCATTAAGGTTACAGGTTCGATTCCTGTCGGAGAGGACATATTTTCTAAGAAATTTCTCGACGAACTTTCAGGCTGGTAAATGTAATTAATACTGTTTAATTAAAAAACAGAGCATTTACTTAAATAAATTATATCTATAAACAGAAAAAGTATTAAATAATTGACAGACTTAATCCATTTTATAATATAATATATAAGATTATTCTTGTAAATAAGCAATCTAATGAATAGTGTTATCTTTTTTCAATTCATTGCTGAAAAACTTCTTTCTATAGTATAGAATCAATCTATTTGTTTCTCTCTCCCCTTATTTTACATTCTATAAGAAAATAATTACTTGAATATTTATAAATAAGTGAAGAAATTTCGTTTTCTGGAGCACAACTTTCTTTCCAGTGTTAAGTTGGGTGCACATGATAGGGATTTAGTTATTTCTGAAGATACTGGATTGTATCCATCATGTTTGGTCATTAGGTATCTTTCCAAAAGCAGATGTCTAGGCAAGTAAATATAGAATATGTTTATTCATGAGCCAAGCAATAAAAGCCAGCCTTTTTTGGCTTTGTAGACAGGATACAAAGGAATGTTGGGCTCTGTTTGGCTGCAGAAGATGTTAGATAAGTAACAGTCTGAAAAATACACACTTGGGTAAGCACTGGTTTTAAAATCCATAAGGTCGTAGTTTGGTTCACTTTGATAGTCCTCTATTTATAAAATCGATCTATATGGTAAATAAAAATACTCTGAAAGCAGACACCTCTTTTAGATCATTAAGAAGATAGATCAACATCTAAAGATTACTAGAAACTTTAGCTATAGCCTTGTATGACAAGCAAAGACTACTGTAAGATACATACAGGCTTAGACTGCTTAGGCATATAGATGTATTAAGTATTATAAGTATTATAATCCTGGAGGGATGATCCAAAAGTGTTGCAAGTTGAGGTCTTGAATGTAAGTCATCATCATCAGTCCCTTGAGTGGGTGTGGTTGTAGAGTTGCTGGGTACCTGAGCACTTCTCTTGACATATCTTGGTTGAAAGCTGGCGAGGTATTCATTCATGTGTAGTGTGTCTTTTAGAAGATAGAACTGTTGGAATCCATCCTTCTCTAAGTAAAAACCAGCTTATTGCCAGGTTATGTACATTGGAACACTGGTTCCTGTACAATCACTGAAGTTAAGCAACATCATGCCCGGTCAGTACCTTGATGAGTAAACCACTTGGGAATACAGGTGATGTAATAGAAGTGTTAATCAGAGAGCCAAGTTCCAATTCCAGTTAGGTTTGTTATACTTACTCACATGAAACAAATACCCCTTCAGAAATATGAATCACCTTCCCCGCTCTATGGGTTAATTAGTAAGCTGGAAAGGAATTCATTCATGTGCAGTGTGTCTTGGGAAGATAGAACTGTTGGAAACCATCCTTCTCTGAGTAAAAAAAACAGCTTATTGCCTCATTATATACCTTAGAACACTGGTTTCTGTATGATTACTGAAGTTAAGCAACATCATGCCTGGTCAGCACCTAGATGGGTGACCACTTGGGAATACCAGGTGCTGTAAGCTTGGATGCACAGGTGATGTAATGGATTTGTTAATTGAAGAGCCGAAATCCAATTCCAGTTAGTTATATTCACTTACATGCAAAATACCCTCGGGAAATGATATGAATCCACCTTCCCCCATCTATGGATTAATTAGGAAGACTTTTTTTTTTGAGATGATGATAATGGTTTTAGTGATACATTATTGCCAAAAATAAAAAAAATTGCATATAATATATTAAGATTTTGGCATTAAATTACCCTTAAAGTTTGATATGCTGCTAGCCATAAACAACCAAGAAATCAAAGTAAAACCACAGCTGATGTCTACCAGCTTCAAGGCTTGGCTTGGTTACAAACCTGTGGCTGTTTATTCTATAAGGGAGAAAAATCTCCACTTTGGCTATTGACCAGTCTAGGAAACCCTCTACCCATCATGCATTGCACTAGATACACACCTAGTTATGGAGCCTAATCTACCCCATTGTGTGAGATGTACATTGACCCCACAAGAAGGTTAATGCACCCTTTGACAGGTCTTTGAAGGGATGTGCAGCTAGTGTGATGGAAAGCAGCTTGAAATCAGTTTGAATTCAAGTTGAGTTCATTACATTCACTTATGCACAAATAACCTTATTCTCACACAGCTATGGGTTAAATAGTAAGACTTGTATATGATAGAAATTTTATTCTCAAAAATAAAAGTTAATGCAATATTCACTTGCACATGTACAAAAAAATTATTCTTACAATCCAAAGTAGTTTTTGGCTTTAAATAACCCGCAAAGAGTTGAATAGGCCTTAAAAAACAAATCAATCAACCTCACCAGAAAAGCCTGTTGGGGAAATCAGTTTTGTCATCAATGACCAAACCATGTGGCAGGTAGGTTATTTGGTAATAGTAGCCCTCATAAAGTGATTTGACATGAATGTAAACCCAGAAGACTAACCTTATATATATATATATATATATATATATATATACACACACACACAATGTGTGTGTGTGACTGCTCAGCATTGAAATTGAAGATGATTAAGTTTTAATATAATAAACTGTAATAGAATAAAGTTAGGACACAGAGAAAAGTTAAGAATAGTTTGAAGGTAAAACTTCTATTGCTAACCTAATTGTTGCGATCTGGATATTGTCAAGAAATCTGACGGCATAGAAATTTCACTTGAATCAACGAGGACAAGATTCTATTACTGATTTTATTTGGTTGAAGGAAACACTGTTCTGAGGTGACATATTTGCAAGCTTTGGTTTGAAGAGTTGAATCTATGTGACTCAAATTTAATAATCTTTTTTGCTTTTTCTTTTCATATGAAGTTGCTGAAAAAAAACTTGGTGATAATAGTTGAAGCAGAAGTATTGTTGCCAACATATAAGAGATGAGTATAAATTATTGGCAAAGAGTCATAAATATTCAAAAGAGGTCATACAAAAATGATGACTGAGAGTTGTCCATCATCAGAAATAAACAAAAAAAACAAAATAGAAAGGTCATTGTATTTTTCTTGAAATTACCTCAGATTTCAAATAAAATGTATGCAACATTAATCCTTTTCGAAAATTCTGTTTTAATATGTAGAAGTAGCCGTATAATACTGTTTAAAAAGAATTTTCTTTTTAGTTTTTATGCTCATTTCAAAGATGAAAGACAGTTATGATTAGAAACACTGATAAAATGATATATAAAAAAAAGAATGCAAATTTAATTATGGTTTGCCATAATCTATCATCTGTGATGCTTAAGCAGATTTTTTTTAAAAATCAAACAAAAAGCAAGACTTACTTTCCACAATGTTCCATAGTATTTGGTATAAAATTGAAAATGTTCTGTGAAACATTAAAATGTTATTCTTTCAAAAAGAGAAATACTATATTTTCTTGTGTATAACAAGAAATTTCGAGTGGAAATTAAAGGCAAAAAAAGGGGTTGTTTCATATACACAAATATACATTTTACTGTGTTTTTTAAAATAAAATATTTAATTTTTTTATTGCTGTAAAAAATACATATGTTCTGTTATAATAAATACATCGAGCTCTCTGTGGATCAGTTTTAATAACTTGTATTACTAGGATCCACCCGGATTATATACCAACAGATCGATTACCTGTACTATTTTATTTGAAAAATCACATCTTATTTGAAACAGCAAGATTGCAAATACTCAGTTAGCAAAATAGATAATAAAACACAAATTAGGGAGCTGTTGATAACAATACAAAAGGTTTTTGATAAGTTGGCAATATTTGTTCTTTGGGAATAAGTGTAAGTAAATGTTTCTCCTATTAAAGACAGGAAATTCACTGAAATTGATTAAAAAAAAAAATTAAAGGGAATGCACAAGATTTAACAAGTTTTGATAATTTATAACTTTTAATTTTTTTCTTGTTTTTTAGTTTCAGAAATATGTGGCCATATTATGCACAAGAAAATACAGTACAGACATAACATGTTTTTTTTTTTTTTTGAGGTACTACTGGGATTAGGCTTGCACAAATCATGATGAGTCCTGCCTGACAAAAGATTTGTCAGTGATTTGAGGCAAGGCTTTAAAAAGCCAGATACTTTTCCTGACACCCTTCTCAGACACTCATGGTTAGTGGTGGACTGGGTCAAAAATTTCTACTGGGAAAACTTGTAAAAACATCCAGTTAAAAAAGGACCAACTTAATCCCAAAATGCTTACTTAAATCTTGCCAGCATGTATGCAATGTTTTTTTTTGTTTTTTTTTTAGTTTTTTTTTAAAGTTTTTTGGTTATTACTAAACTGATGGACCATCACTTTGGGACTCACTAGGAAATTTCCCAGTATCCTGGTGGGTCAGCCTGCCACTGCTCATGGTATTCCAAGAATGTTGCCATTCAAGGCTTGAGTCGCTATCCCATCCTAGCCTAGTACAAACACACACACACACACACACATACATATATATATATATATATATATATATATATACACATACATACATCCTTCCCACACACACGCACACATATATATATATATATTTTTTTTTTTTTTACAGCAAAAAAACAAAAATTACCTCAACATAGAAGATAGTCTATTTCAAGCCATTCATCTTCTGTTGAGGTAATTTTTTTATTGCTGTAAAAAATATATATGTTCTGTTATAATAAATACATCGAGCTCTCTGTGGATCAGTTTTAATAACTCGTATTACTAGGATCCACCCGGATTATATACCAACAGATCGATTACCTGTACTATATATATATATATATATATATATATATATATGTAAAAGACTAATACAAATAAAATTTGTCATTTAGCTGAGTGATGTTATATTCAGCCCCCTGACTCCAGGGTTTTGTATACAACCCTTTTTTTAATCATTCAGTCCACTTGTCAGGAGATTTTCTCATTTTTGTTATCTTCATACTAAGTTAAAAATTTATTTGCTAGTTATTGGTGTTAGGTTGATTTTTTTTTTTTTTTCAGCTTTTGTGCGTGTGAGTTTGTGTATTTGTGTCAGATGTTATGGTTGTTTCTTCTCTTCATCATCATCATCTTGTCTCCTTATACTTTCTCCTTACCCTTTCTCCTTTGCGCTTCTTTTTCTCTCTTTTGGCCCTAAGTGTCACATACAAAATGTTAGCGATTGGCTCCTCATTTGACAGGTCTTATTTTTGGCCCTGTGGGGTGAGCTGGTTTAGACACCAACCGACCCATCCAAGGGACAGGCTGTACTGGGTTACAAGGCACCAGTAGCAGACCTAAGCCTGAACCATACCAAAAAAAGTCTTGTAAATTTTGAATGAAAAATAATGTAAAAAACCTTATTTTTTTTTTTTTTTTTTTTTTTTCAGCCCTTTTCATTCTATGACAAAATCAGATTTTATTTTCAAATTTTTTAATATATAATAAATACACTAATTTTATATCTCGTGTATGATGCAACTCCCTTAAACTTAGCTTCAAAATTAGGTCTTCAAAAGTTTTATTATATATGATTGAAGAATCGGAGAGCCAAGTTCAAATTCCAGTTGAATCCATTACTTTCACTTACATGCTAATACGCTTCGGAAAAATATGAATCCTCTTCTTCTCCCTCTGCCAGCTATGGGTAAATAGCAGGACAGACTGGGTTCTATAGCCTTGGATGGCAACTGGTCTACCGCAGAAAGAAATGGCAACCTTCTGTGGGAAAAATCTGCCTCATCAGTCATGTATCAAAGGATATATAATTGCCTAAGCATGTATCAAGCATGGGACATTAATAATAATATACGGTATGTAAATTGTTATTTGATCACTTGATGAAATGATCTAGAAACATTCTTTGGCAATACATATGAAAATTTCTCCTGTGTATTTTCAGTGTACTGTGTAGTCTTTATCATATTTCTTTGTCGTTTCACTGCAAAGGAAACATATTTATAAAATTAATAATTGAATCCTGACCTGATTCTAATGTCTAATCCAAAGTTAATCTGCCAAGTGATATATGCCTTTCTATTTTTTTTTTAAATTTTGTATGGTTCATCCAATACAAGGCCCAAGAGCCATTCAAGGTAGAGGATTACTGAGTGAGATCATTATTAAGAAGGAGAAAATAAGAGAGTATTATGAGGATGAGTAGGATAGATATCGGCTGAACCTGGCCTTAAAGAGACTAAAATTGTAATTTTCAGGGAAGCATTCTCTCCGGAGTTTGTTCGACAATGTATGGGGAAGAAGCATGGGGATGGGTTGTCACCATGAACATGACATGGCAGATTTGAACCATGTCATGGCTAAAACCCTGGTAGAATTGAGAAATGCTAGTATTCTTAACTTAGAATGTCTAAGCTAGATAGAACACACAGATACAACACTGATCCTAGACATTGCACAGATATTCTGACCTTCAGTTGATGTATTGATCCAGATGTAAATAATCCCATCATTTTTATGTTAGTGAATATATATTTACATGTCTATGAGAAGTCATAAACAACTAAACCTGACAAAATTCAATATATACTAGACAAAAATGAATATA